AATCAAGGCTTCACACACCAGGAACGCGAAGCGTATTTGAACACCTTAGTCGAGCATCTGAATTATTCCACACTATATTCACGGAATTGAAGAGCACGTCTTTTTCTCATTTACTTTCAGCACAGGTATTGTAGAATACCGGGTCTAAATAACACAAATCATTGGATCCTTGGAACAGGAATCACGTGATCCTCACCTTCAGGTCTTGTCGTTGATCCAAAAACTGTTTTGATAGGGAGAATTCTTGATGAAAGATGCATGTTTTTATCCATATACACGAGTGTTATCGCATCAACTCAACATTCACAAAATTTCTCGCCGCAAATTCGGGATGATTCGACAGAGATTTATCACGATTTCTGAACGAATGAGTTTGAAGATGATTCATAAACGTACTTGAATTTGAAAAGGATGAATCCTTAGCAACATGACTGTGCCTTCTTAATTTATTCGAGGAAATATTCCAGCTCATAACTAGAGCCTAATTAATTCATTATCGCACGGACTCTTACGATTCTGAAGAAATTGAAAAATAATGCCGTTTGTTTTCACACGCAAATTCGCTCTTCATTCTAAATTTCTATTCTAATGACTGTCAAAAAAGATTCGCTGAATGGAGTACCTTTAACCAAGTAAAAAAAAATACGCCCCCGGATTAGATGATGCAATACCCCGTGGAGTTGACATGATCACGACATGCCTTATTTTCGTCTTCGATTTTGCACACTTTTTCCAACTTCCGAAACTGAGTTATTTGACTTACCGAAAGATTACTAAGATCTGATTACGATCGAGGGTTGTGTTGAACAGAAATGAGAAAAAAATACTCTCTGACGGCATATTATTCCGTCAATTTGGAGTGGAAATGTGGAATTCAAATGTCGTTTTCACTGAGGAACTTTCGAGTTGCTCACTGCTGACGATCATTTCGTTGAAGCGCAGATTTATTTCTAAAGTCGTTCACGTTGAGTTTCATTTTCCAACGAGAACATCACTCATCTCGAAGATGCAGCTTTGTACACATGTCGAATAAAAACGTCACGTCTGCACGCCCATCCTCGAAAAATGATCATTTTTGTCCTACACACGACACACCATATCACTCGCACAGTTCACCTTCACATCACATTTTCATTTGACTGTTTTATTACAGTCCGCGATCGACTTCGGTATATGCGTATATAACCACCATCTTACACATGAGCGGAAACACGAATCCATCCGAATGATGCGGGACTCGCACAAGAAAAGCATTATTCCACGCCAATAATTCGCTTCACCCGCAACAGATCACGATGCCTGATTTTGCAGAAAATCGAGGTCAACCGTGATGGAAAAGGGGCATCACGTATTGCAATTCCGTGTCTGCAATATTGAGTTTATACTGCCGGAGTCGTCGCGGTTTGATGGGAAATCCGTTGGAGGAAAACCCGGCGTTGGCGCGAGGAAGAAGGAGGACATGGGAGTGTAGCCAGGACCCGAAGGGAGAGCGGGGCATAGTGTGACGACGTCACGTGACCCCCTGGCGGACGACCATTCGATGGCGTACCGGACGCAGGAGTGACTGAAAAACCGGTTCTTGAGTAAGGTACTGTCGTCAGGAATTTCCTGGTAATGAGTACTGTATCACTGAAACAAATAAATGTTCAAGGTCTCTGACGTAAATTTTATATTCCATTTGAGACTAGCTGCAGGGCAATATCTCATTTTGACAAACTTTTGATCATGGAACATTTTTGAACAGTTTTGAATCTCATCATGGTGAACAGCTTTTTTCTCATTGGGTAATGTTTCAGGTCCCAATTCCTTTGTCCTGAAAAAACCTTTTGTACATCAGAACTATGTTCCTTATGATGTGCACACAAAACAATGCAGGTGAAATAAATTCCTTAATATTACTTTTTATCACTACTTTTGAAAATTGAGTTCAGGATTTCATCAACTTTTGCTTTGGGTGGAGTGGACTTGGGTTTGGATGACAGGCTTCAGGAATAAATATTTCCCTATAATCCAGATTACCAAATTACTACCCTTCATTATTTTGGATTACCCAAAGATAACCCAATCCAATATAAAACATGTGTGGCTGCCAAAATCATTTTCAGATTGCATAAATAAAAGGCCTTTCACTTTGAAGTTTCATGAAGGTGAGCTTTTTATGCTTGTGAGTGTGTTTGCTGTTGATTTTTTGAAGATATATTCATTCTTGATGCATGTATGTGGAATCATTTGCATTTCTTCAAAAGACAGAACAGTACCATATGTACAGTATCATTACAGTCAAATGACTTTTGGGTTTTAGCACCATATTTATTCATAACATGGTGTAAAATGTACATTCCTCAATAAATATACTTTTGATTAGGAAATCCATAGCCCTTAGAATTCATCAAATTCATTGATTGAGGCAACACAGTAATACATGAATATTGTTCTTTTTGCATTAAAAAAGAGAAAAAAATGCCATTCCAAATACACCAGAGTCAATTTGAATACTTGTCCCAAGACTTTTTAGATTTCAGGAAGATTAGAGCTTAACATGCACATGCTATCAAAAATCTACTGAAATACAGTAGACTCTCTCAACAACAATTTTTTTCTGCATAGCAATTCTTTTGGTCCCATGAAGGTCATCTATACCCATATTATACAGGTTCTCTGCAAAAAAATATACTCTCTCCACAGCGCATTTTTCTAGTCCATTGAATTATGTTGTAGAGATCGACATTTTCAAGGTTCATTAAGGATATTCTGTGAGTGCCTGGAATGGATTTAATAATTTTTAATGAAAACTTGGGCAAAATATAGCGCTTTACCTCAAAAAATCATTCACTTTCTCTTTTCGCAGAAAATTGGCATCTATAAAAATCTACAAAATCCATGTCTGATGCCGGATAGGAGCCGCAGGTCACCTCCAGCGAATAACCACCCAGCTTTTCACCGGCGACCAAGAGCCGCGCACATTCCACACACCCTCTCCTTGCTCATCGACATCTGGCTTGTATACTACAGTACGCACATTGAGAAATTTCGGCGGGGACACGAGCCCAGGAATTACCCACTACTGCAAAGCTACTACAGAAGCACTACTGTGAACATGCAATGACACTGAGGCTTCGCATCCTCTCTTCATCATGGTGAACAGCTTTTTTCTCATTGGGTAATGTTTCAGGTCCCAATTCCTTTGTCCTGAAAAAACCTTTTGTACATCAGAACTATGTTCCTTATGATGTGCACACAAAACAATGCAGGTGAAATAAATTCCTTAATATTACTTTTTATCACTACTTTTGAAAATTGAGTTCAGGATTTCATCAACTTTTGCTTTGGGTGGAGTGGACTTGGGTTTGGATGACAGGCTTCAGGAATAAAGATTTCCCTATAATCCAGATTACCAAATTACTACCCTTCATTATTTTGGATTACCCAAAGATAACCCAATCCAATATAAAACATGTGTGGCTGCCAAAATCATTTTCAGATTGCATACATAAAAGGTTTGCTGTTGCTTTTTGAAGATATATTAATTCTTCAAGCATGTATGTGGAATCATTTGCATTTATTCAGAAGACAGAACAGTACCACATGTACAGTCTCATTACAGTCAAATGACGTTTGGGTTTTAGCACCATATTTATTCATAACATCATGTAAAATGTACATTCTTCAATAAATATACTTTTGATTAGGAAATCCATAGCCATTAGAATGCATCAAGTTCATTGATTGAGGCAACACAGTAATACTGTACATGAATATTGTTCTTTTGGCATTAAAAAGAGAAAAAATGCCACTCCAAATACACATGAGTCAATTTGCATCCTCACCCAAAAAAATTTTAGATTTCAGAAAGTTTAGAGCTTAACATGCACATGCTATCAAAAATCTAATGAAAAATACAGTAGACTCTCTCAACAACAATTTTTTCTGCATAGCAATTCTTTTGGTCACATAAAGGTCTTGTCTGTCATCTACACCCATATCATAAAGGTTCTCTGCAAAAAAATAATAAAACTCTCTCCACAGCCCCTTTTTTCTGGTCCCTTGAATTATGTTGTAGAGGCAGACATTTTCAAGGTTCATCAAGGATATTCTGTGAGAGCCTGGAATGGATTTAATAATTTATGAAACTTGAGAAAAATATTGCGCTTTGCCTCAAAAATGAATATATTTTCTCACTTTGCAGCAGTACTAAAAAAAAATCTACAAAATCCTTGTCTGATGCCGGATAGGAGCCGCAGGTCACCTCCAGCGAATAACCACCCAGCTTTTCACCGGCGACCAAGAGCCGCGCACATTCCACACACCCTCTCCTTGCTCATCGACATCTGGCTCCATATGATGTCATGCGTGTAACTCTTTAAAGCCGCCCCTGTGCTCGGGTCCTTAATGGGTGATGACGTTTCGATGATGTCTTCGTGATGACACTTGTACGTTACTGTGACTCCGAAGCGTAGGAGAGCAGAACCCAGTTCATGTATGCATGCAGTATCTCGCAAAATACGTGAACCCGCGAATATCTCATCCCCGCTGAGCTCCACGTCATCACTTCACCATCACCCGCCGCAGCGCACCAACACCGCGCCGTACTGACCCCCCCTGCTTTCAACCTCGGGAAATCCCCGGTTTGCAGTACACTACCATACCGGACTACCCGGCAGACGGAGTGCCTCGGGTGGGTCAGTGCAGATAAACGCACAGGTTGCGAGTTCGCCACTTGAAACCATCATTGGAGATACCAACATGCGAGGGTGACTCAATACTTTTTCCGCGGATATTGGAAAAATGCGTCTCCAGGAATGCTGCCTCACGTCTCTCAGAATTTATAAGTATATATACTTCCTCTCTATACAATGATAACGTTCCTGAATTCCACTGCTCCTCATGTCCTGATAATGATGCTTCAGTATATGGAGCCTCATCTGGAGACCAATTATTACCTAGAAAATTCCCTGATGCACTATCAAATAGAAAAGGCATTTCAAGATAAGAATTATACAAAAGGCAGTAAATCTGATGCAGTGCCTTAGATATATTTTGCATCATCATCCCAGAGATGAAGCTGTTACAAACATATCACGCATTCCTTCCACAATAAATAGCTGTATTTTATCCCCCCAGGTAAAAAAAAGACAATTACCTTAACCAAATTAGAGACATGGAGGAGGAATCAGTATCAGAGACTCCCTCAGACATTGAGGTACTTTGAAGGGTTTCAAATTCCATTGAAAACTTCTGCAAGGTGGTTTGTAACTTTCTTCTTTTTTGCTTGTTTTTTTTTTAAAGCAAGCAAAAATGCCTGTTGCAAGAGATGCCACTACACAAGACACACTGAGAAGTGCAGGCAGCATAAGCAGCCAAGAGGCTGTGGATTTATCCTTTGATGAGGTTGGTGCAAGGTATTTTATATGCTTCCATGGTGATTAAGGATACATAATTACCACCAGGAATTTCGCATGGTCCCACCCCCTGAAATCATCAGAAGAACCATGGCTTGGCCAAAAATGGTTTCCATCAGTTACAAGGTTGCCTTCTTTTCTTGAAAAGTGGATTCTCAGGATTTATTTTCCCTATTCTATAGACAATGGACTTAAGTGGGTATCATGGTGAGACTTACACAAACTACAAAAGGGAAGGAGGCTATTCATTGTATTTCAGACTGGAGATCCTTTACTGGCTGATTTGCATGCTTGTTGGAATTATAATTGGACTTTTGGTATTTGCTGTAGACATAATTTCAAGGACCTTTGGTCACTTCAAGTATGCCTTGATGTCAAGAAGTAAGCTGGACTCAAATATCCCAAGTATGACATATACATAAACTGAATTATTGATGAAGTTGTTCAAGATTGCAACAATGACATCACCAGCTGCTTCCAAGTGATGCTGTTCATCACCCTGGGGATAAACATTGTGGCAACCATGATTTCTGCCATCATTGCAGCCTTTGAAGGGGTATGTTATCATAAATAGCTGAATTTCAATGACAAATAAAGAAAACATGTTGATAGGCCAGGACCTACTCAGGAAGTGGACTAACCTTAACTGCTACCTACTTGAATGGGATTTTCCTCCCAAGAGCATTGTGTGTGAGAACAGGGTTTGCAATGGCTATTGGGATCATGTTCTCTCTTCTGGGAGGAATGCCAACAGGAAGGGTAAGTCAGCTTTATAAGGCATGGTAAAACAGTTGATTTTAAAATAATGAGACACTCATATTTCCACAGGAAGCTCCCATGGTATATCTTTCTGCAATTCTCATGACCAGTATTGCATCAGGAGCCTTCTTCTCCAGACTGAGTGACAAGAACTTCCTGTGGCACTTTGGAGCAGTGGACAGGGATCAAAAGGACTTGGTGTCCATTGGGGCTGCAGCAGGATTTGCTGCCACATTGGGGACTCCATTTGGTGAAATTACTCAAAACAACCTCAGACTTATTAATCCTGTATAGACCCCAGGACAAATCTTTCTCATACCCTACTTCATTATCTTTGAGGAAAGCTCATGTAATCTTGGGGAGAATAGCACTTATCATGTCATAGAAGGAATGTCATGACAACACTGAGTCTTATAGCTGGCCCTGAACTAATTATTTTCACACAGAAATTTACAGATAAGCCAGCAGACACTGAGGCAAAATACAAGTTAGACTTTTGTGAGCAAACCATAAAATCATCACAATGAAAACACCATTTATTGCAATTGAGTACACCATTCCTTGAATTTGCTGAAACACTCTTTCAACAGAGGGAAACCTTATTCAGCAGTGGTGTTGAAATAAACCCCAGAAAATTTCCAATATTTGAGTTCAAATCTATGGTATGCCATACAGCATCACTGAAAACCACAGAATACAACATTTTTATTGCATGCAGGGGGAGTCATCTATGTATTAGAAGAAGGAGCATCCTTCTGGAAGCAGTCTTTGGCAGCAAAGGCCACCATGACAGCTTTCTTGGCCTTTTTTGTGGCCAGCCAGCTGACACAATTGACTTACCTGGCACCATGTAAGGCAAACAAATATTTCTAGATTTTGTGAGATGGGGATATATGATAAAAAAGAAAGTTTTCAGACAATCATGACATCTTTGGGTCATTGCTGGAACCTGGGCTGGGAATGGATCTTGGGATTGCCTTGTTGGATGTTCCTGTTGCCATTTTGATGGGGACACTTGGAGGAGCTCTTGGTGCTCTTTTCAATTGCATGACCATGCAGTTGAGGAAGTTCAGAACAGGGTGAACTTCATAAAATTATGGATTATATACCACTTGAAAATATCTATACTTTACTGTATTGTTATAGAGATCACAGTATTCAATTCTCTTCAGGTATGTGGCCTCAATCAAGAAGAAGTTGGTGGAGTCTTTTGTGATTGCTCTGGGAGTTACTGGGATCATGTTTGCCAACATTCTGACCAGTAGTGTTTGTGCAGAGGACAAGAGGGTCAGTAGGAATCTTTTTGACCGCAGGGATTCCTTCCAGGCAGTTTTCAACCATAACCCTGTTAGGGTAAGGCAGCTTTAAAATTTATTTATGAATATTATTACCAGGAAGTACCTGGAAAAGCCTTCAAACAATAATCACCACAAATAATACTCAAATAACATTGTAGCTATACTGGATGAGGGATCTTATTCAAAATGAATTCACACTAAGCAATAATTCATTTTGATAAGATTTGCTGTGCAGATGAAGTTTCAACAAAATATATGTATACAGTATTCTCATCTTGCCAAACTTATATACATTTTAAATTTTAGACTTGATAAGAATTGTTGGATTTGCAGATTTCAGGCAACTAAATAGCAATAAGTTATCTCCACACTATTTTTTGTTGAGTCCCAAACATTTTCAGCAAAAAATTAGATATACTTCTTCAGCATAAAGTCATACCTGAATTCATCTGAAAGGAGTTCAAAAAAGAGAGTGCTGTTCTGATTTGATAAAGTCTTGTTGCCAATAAGGTATCTTATTCCACTGAGTCACATGGTATATATACAGTAAAATCTTGTTACAAAAATGTGATTTAAAAAATTAACCCAGCAGAACTCATGTTAAAAGATGTACATAACTTGTTTAGAGTTTGGATTTTTGAGAAACCCTACTCTCATGCTCAACAACTGTAAAGATTTTTGGAGCATCCAATTTTACAAATTTGGGCAGGATTTGTTAAAAAAAAGTCCACAAAAAGTGCTAATGTTTACCTGTTATTCAGAGTAAATGTTTTTACTGAAATTTTAATTTCTTTTTGAAGATATCACAGTTTTTCAAAAAGGGAAAAACATCTGGAAGGCCACAAATTGAAGATCTTGTATATATACAAGTTCAATTTAGAGCAATCCTCCAGTCAATAATTCTGAAAATGTCAAAATAACAAATTATTCATTATATAAGAAGCTTTTTTGAAGCCCCATGAGTTAATTGCAACAAGATTTTACTGCTGTACACACTAGCAATAAATCAGGTATACTTTCCACTCTTCATCAGTTCCCATGTGCCACTGGTGAACACAATTCCATGGCAGGACTCTGGATGAGGTTCCCTGAAAGAATGCTGTTACCACTGTTTCACTTGGATGAAGGTGAGTACATTTCAAGTGTAGCTCAGTTTTCTGAATACAAGGTTTTTTGGCAAATGGTCTGAGCTAAATACTGTACTCCCACCTAATTGGTGGTGAAGGATAAAGGAGTGTACTGGAGGGTTTTATTGACCAAGTCCTCGTTCTTTTCAGGTGCGCGAGGTAAAACTTACTCACGGTTTATTCTCCAACGTTTTTTAATTTCGAGTAGAATGCGTTTCACAGGAACTACTTCCCTATCAATGATGCTGACATTCCAAGTGACCTACTTTATGCTGGCTGTGTGGATTTATGAAAGTCCTGTGATGTTCAGCATCCTCAGTCCAGTACTGGTGGTGGGGGCAGCCACTGGTTTGGTATTAGGGAACCTACTTGGTTTAATTTCAGGCTTCCAGGTATATAATATGAGCCAAAAATGGGGTTTCTCAAAAGTTTTGCAGAAGAGATCATCTCCATCATACAAGCCATAAAAATATGAGGGGGAAACAGCACAAAGTTGTGCATAAGTTTCAGCTAATCCTCCATCTTGGCATTTCAAAATAATGCAAATCTTTTCAACAGATGATCAGAAGCAAGTGTTGAGACAGGTCCATCTTTGAGAATTGGAAGAACAAAAGTTTGGATATTCTGGGGATGTTACTGGAATCTTATTTAGCATTCTTTTCAAAACTTTTCTTCACAAACAGTAAAATCTTGCTACATTATATGATCCCATGGGGACCAAGAAAAGGTTTTTTCTTTCTTACCAAGAAGTTCAAACAACTCTGCAGCTCTTGTACATAAGGGACCTGAAAAATGAATTCACTTCAGACAATAATTTGTACTAAATTCTGTTGCTGCATAATATTCAGGAGATCTCATGAGCAGATATATACAACATCAATGATATTATATGTATAGCCTCATTTATTATTGATTCACTTTGTAAAGAGAAATTGTAAAATGCCACCCAGAAATGATTAAAACCATGCTGAAACTTCTGCTAATTCTTGGAACTTTGTGGAACTTCATGCCTCAGATCTTTCAAAGTTCTTTTGCTTCTCATGATCATCAAGAAATATATGCAAAATTGACAAGTGTGCTGCTTCTTGGTCAATAAATTATGGAGTATTATTTGAGTTCTAAACCATACTTCTATAAAGGGGTTTCAAATTTCAATCTGATGGAAATGGGTTCAACCTTTCCCAAGCATGCAGAAATTAATTGCTGAAGATAACCAATACAATTTAAACTGGCTGCTCAAGAGGGAAACCCTGATTTTGTTGACAGTCTGCAAGACAAACCCTTGTAGAAAGGAAGCTATTAAACAATGTGACCTGCAGGTTCTCCTTGGACCCAAATTGCCAATCTTGGGCATGGCAGCTTTCTCATCAGGAGTCCTTAGGAGGCCAGTTGCCCTTACCATCATGATTGCTGAGCTCATCAACAATTTCTACTTTGTTCCCATATTGCTGCTGACCACCATTTCTGCCATGATGATTGGCAACCTCTTCA